CTATTCTATTCTATTCTATTCTATTATTTTATTTTATTTTAGCAGCAATGCTTACAATGCAATGTGCTACACTAAATTATAATTTAGGTTCAAGAATTCCTATTTGCCAAAATATTAATGGTGATATCATGCTCAGCATGTTGAAAAACTGTCCCCTCCTGAAATCAAACAGGAAGTTTGGTTAAAAATTGTTTGAGTTTGCCAGGTGAAGGTGATTCACAGCAAGCAAACTGTGAATGTGAATTCAAATTAACTCCTCTTTATGAGGATTGCAGTACTTCCCCTCCAGTCTTTTTTTTCTAAAGCAATCTGTTATCATGGATCAAGATTTTAAAATTTGTTTGCAATTTCAAGAATTTCTTCCGTACTGTCAGAGTTTTCTAACATGCTTTTTTCTAAAAGTCTGCTCTAGGTTGACCTGTTTATACTGTTCTGGTTGTACTTATTGCCATGGTACTGATTTGCTTTTGAAGGTTCTTCAAGTCCAGGAGAGCATTTTCTAAATCAGCTCTGTTTGTTCAGTCCTTGGAAATCTGTAAAGAGCTTCAAGTTTCTCATCAGTGTGCACAAGCAATTCAAATTTTATAATATGGACATTTTTCTGGCAAGCACTGAACTGACACTGTAAAGTTCTCCTACCCGCAGCCTATCAAACAGTTACCAGGCACTGACTGTAACAATTTGAGATTGATTTTAAAACAGCAACCTAGGATGAAAAGATCCATAGTGTGTTACTGCAAAGCTTTTTGTATTATGCAGCTTTCTTTTCTTTGTCATTTTTTATTCTATAGAGATGTTTTAAAAAAAAACTTTATTTTGTCAAACTGACCTAGATTATCAACATAATTCAACATCAAGAACTGAACACAGAATACAAATAACTAAAGCAAATTCTTAGTCTGCCAGCAGAGCAAATCACCTGGTCAACTCTGCCTGTGCAGAGCAGTACATTAGTAAATTTGCTGACTTATTTGTTTGCCTAAACATGTGGAACTAAAAGTGCTTTCAAAACTTGAACCCTATATTTTTTGGTTAAATTCCTCTGAAGGCTTTAAAGTCCCTGCATTTAGCCTAAGTTATTGTTCCAACTAGTATTTCTGTAAGCAGAGTAAGAAAGGGAAGCAAGTTTATAATTCCAAGAAATAATTTGCTATTAAAAAATATAGGTAGAGATTCCCATTTGCCTTAATAATGCTAAACAGACATAGCAGTGGGCCAGTATTAATACTAAAATAATAGTGATTGAAAAGAAGTTTCCAGATAGTCAGAGCAAAACAGCTGATTTTAGCGAGTTCTTTGGAAAACAACAGAACTGTTAGATGCTCCATACTCTGGGGGAAGCGAGGTGGATTGTCGTTGACATCAGTCAGTGTGATGTTCACGGTGGTGGTCCCTGATAGTCCTCCCATCTGGCCTCCCATGTCTTTGGCCTGGATGACCACTTGATATTGTTCCCTGTTTTCTCTGCTCATGTCCGGTAAAGCAGTCTTGATTATGCCTTGAAGAAGTAAGAAAAAGGAGAGACAGAGTGGTGAGGGAGAAGCACCACCCACTTCAATCTCAGACATTTTAAATGGATTTGTGTAAAATGAATGATGCAGATGCTAATCCATAGTAATCAAACAAGGTATATTGCAATAAGCCTTTCAATCTATGGCTGATTTAATGTGATTTTAAGAAGGAAAGATAAATGCATGTAACAGAGACCCTGTTCAATGTTTTTAGATGTGCTGAATCAATGTAATTATTCTTTCAATGACAAAAATATCAATATATTAATTGAATTAGCAAAATTTTCCAGTTTCCATCCGCAGTTATTAGCTATTATTCTAATACATTGTGCAATCTCCAGCCCTGAAGAGCTTTTGATATTCCAGGACAAGGCTAAACTGTTACATGACCTGATTTCATTATTCTGGGCTGTAATAGATCATAGATTGTAGTGCTCAGTGATGGCCAGTGTAAGTCAATTAGGGCTATAGCTAATAAAATAATTGGGCAAGGCTCTAAAATTAGCGTTGGAAAATCTTTTTGGGTGTCCAATTTCAAGAATTTCATAACTGTAATTTAAATGTCTCAGACAGTACACAAAAAGAGTAGGGGCCTCAGGTGAGGAAACCAAAAGACCTTTTCATTAAGTGGACACATATATGTTTTCTTTTAGAAAACCAAACAGAGCTCTTTTTTTGCCTATTTTTATTTTTCTTAGAATGGTAGTAGCTTTGCAAGGTTGGAGTGATAAGACCAAAGATAAGAACCCAAGTCTGTCTTCCTAACCACCTGTTGCTATCAGTTACTGTCCATGTGTTACTGGTCCTGTTTCCCTGCTCATGCCTGGTAAAAATACTTGAGCAGGGGACTGGATAAAAGAGAAAAAGAAGATAGATTGACAAAAAAGGACATTTATTCAAGGCAAAAAAAAATAAAAATAACCATAGCCTTATGACACATCTTTCCGTATTAAAAAAATAACAAAACCAACAAAAAAAAGCAGCTGTTTCAAAAGGAAATTAGCTGCCACCTGAGCACACTTAATGGATTAGGAACTTCAGGGATTCCGGGTACATTTGCACTAAAATTCTTGATTCTCAAACCAGAATAGCTTTGATGACATGCAAGAGCATGTTAATGCAATGCCTACTTCGTCTTGTGTGCCTTAGGATTAGGTGGCTGGAGGAGGGGAGAATGTGGTTGAATGTTTCTTCTTTGAACCCTAATTTTGCGTTACAGATATCTAAGGTTCACACATTTCTTTTTTTTTTTTTTTTTTTAGTTTGTGCTTGTCTCTTATCTGATTTCCTGTAGAACAATGAAAAAGGTTTCCATTCATGCTTTAGATCTTGAAAGCACTAATGATTCTTGTTTCAGTTCTAATAACTGTTGGAATCAGAATACAGTTTCAAAAAGTATCTTCAGTTAAAAACTGCCAATGATCAAGAATCTGTCCCAAACTTTTAGAAAAAAAATAATTATCTTGGAGATTTTTTAAAAAAATAAATACTGTATAATCTGAAATTGTCCAGCTCCTATTTTCTTTTCTTGAAGACAAACGTGAAATTCCCAGAAATTGAAGAAAATAGGCTTGTGACTCATTTTGATGTTTCTTTAGACCTTTTACAATATTCTATACCTGTTTTGAACTGTTGACCTTTACAGTTAACAGTCATCTTCTGGAAATCTTCTTGATACAAAGCAAAGCACTTCTTCTGCAATTATATTAATTTGACAGAAAAGACATACTTTTATTATGATTCCAGTTTTCATTTGGTAAAAGAGAATCACATTTGTGTCAAGTCATAGGATGCCATATGCCTGTTACAATATTAAATGGAAGTGAAAATGTCTTGATCCCTGCATCCTGTCTGTTATTACAAAAAGTAAGACTGAGTGAATTGCTACCTGTTTCTGGATCCACTGAGAAATATGGCTGTCCCTGGAGGATGCTGTACACCACTTTGGCACTGTTTCCATAGTTGGCATCATCAGCGTCTGTGGCTGTCACCTGAATAACAGATGTACCTAAATGGGTACCAAACAAGGAATCAGCAGACTTTAAGATGGCATCTACTTTTTGTAAACCACATACAGTTGTTGCAGTATTGAATTCAGCAAGAAATTGAACAGCATCTGGTGGGTAAATCCAGAGTTATCCTACTGAAGAAACAGTTAAATAAAACCTCATGGCTAAACCTAAAATCATTATCACTTTAGATTCATGCTTCAGTTAAACATGAGTAAATGCATAGGGATTGACACATCTTTGAAACCCAACACAGCATTGGATTTTTTTGGTGATCAAACAGGTTTGAAATTTGTTCTCTGGTAATAGCATGACCTCAGCTGAAACTGTTCGCTTAAAGGTTTGGCTTAATCAATAAATAAACCTAAAGTAAAGTGCCCCATGCTCATTTTCTGCTTAGACAGAAAACACCAAATATCTCAAGTAAGACTGAATGAAAAATGTTGTCTTATCTTAACATTTTTAAGATGCTTTTAAAAAATAGTTTGATTTTACAATAAGAAATTCAGTTTGTGTCAGGTGGGTTGTTTGCTTGTTTCTCTCTCGGTCAAAGTTATCTACCTATTTGGCAAATAAATGCCATTAAACAACAATTACATTTTTTCCGGCATTCACTTATTTTGTGTGACAAAAGCTTACCCCTGCCCTGTGATCATAATGAGGACAGTATAGACTGTACGGGATTAAGTGAACTGTAAGCCAATACATTTGGTGTAGTTTATGGATGAGAAGCAAATGAAAGCTTCTGTAAATCCTTTCTTATGAAGTATATAAAAGGACAAAACTGTTCTTCACAAGCTTTTATTTCTTAGCACTTTTTAGTATGTCAGAATGCATTTTGCTAACACAGTCCAGAGCTGACAATTGTACAGATAAATGCAGGCAGTCCAATAGCTAGAAGTGTAAAGGTCCTTAACTCCTTCCCAAGGGAAGAAGGCTGACTGAGAAGAAGCTCTTTACCCTATTTTTTTTTTTGGCTGGGATTTTTTTTTAGTGTATCTCTCTTTTCTTTTAAGGAAAAGGTCCAGTGAGCACTCTCCACTTAAGTGATATCATTTCCTATTCCTTTTTTTTACTACAGTTTTGGCCTCTAGATTGAAGTTCAGTCAGATAACTTGCAGTCAAATGTCTGTCTTGACTATAAATTTAGGAGATGCTCATTTACCTGTTACTAATGGAACTGAACTGAATCATCTCTACTGTCACTTTTCAGTGTATACCAGGGATTGGGAAAACTAGAAATACAGTGCAATGAAAGCAGATTTGTGAGAGCATGTTATTATTAGGTCCTGTTAGATGCAATTACTATTTTGTAATGCAAAATACAGCTTTACAAATAATAGTATTGCCTACATAATAGTAAAAATTACCACTATTTTAAGTCATCTGAAAAGCATGTGAAGAGGGGAGAAATACTTCTTTCTCTGCAACAAACCAGCAGAACAAAGTTGTAAAATGCTTTGTCACAAGTCGTCAAACTCTGAAGAGGATTTTTGCCATCAGCTATCTGGATTACTTTTTGCCTGGTTAAGTAGTTAGAGGTCATCTCTGTGCCAACCTGAGCTGTAAAGATAATCCCAAAGAAGTGAGTATTTAAGGACATTTTTATCACTAACAGGATCCAGCAGAACTTCTCATCTGAACAAAAAAAAGAAGACAGTTTTTTCAGAATGTTAAAGTTCCATTAGTCCTATCTGGTTTCAGAAAAGTAAATAATTTAAATCCCATGCCTCCTCAAGACTAATATGGAAAGAAGAGTCAATATCACTTGCTAGCCTGTAAAAACCCATAATGGTAATCAGTAGAATCATATGATTATGCTGTGTGCCACTAGAAGTTAAGAAGCAAGAGAAATGTATAGGTCTATCTCACCCTCCTCCATCCAAAACAAACAACAACAACAACAACAACAAAACAAATAAAAACCACAAACAACCAACACACACACAAAAAGGAAACAAAAATTAAAAGCAACCCAAAATACCTTCACTAGGAAAACTTATTGCTTTGGCTTCCTGATCTAGGCACTGTCTTGGGACTGACACAGAAGTTTGAGTATGGTTATAACAACTGAATGCACATTAAAGTTATTTCTTTCTTTTCCTGGTGTACTGTTTTGATGAAAATAAAATGCTGAATCTGCTGTGAGCATTTTTGTTTTCTTCAAAACAGGCATTGCAGAGCTCAGAGCAGTCTTTGGGAAATTCCTGTCTTTGCTCATTGGAACATCTATCTGTTTCCTGAGGCTCAAGTGCCATACTATTATGGTTGCTGAGGAGAGTACAGAAGCTGTAACCCTACAGAAACATTTAAGGTGGTGAAAAAATAGTGTTACAAAGCTCCTTGTTTCTAGTAAACTAATAGTACAATCATGAAAAATTATTAACAGAAGTATATCCTCAGAAAATTCAATGTCAGCATACAGTTAACTATCTTCTCTGCCAACAGTCTGCTCTGTCATAAAGGAGGATGCTCACAGATGATTTTTTTTTGCACAGATGTGCAACTTTCTTTCATGAGCAAAGAAACTTCTTAGCTTTTTGAGTCTGAAATGAAACCAGGAAAGGCAGTGAAATACAGGAACTAAGCACCTACCATGAAAAAACTAGTAATGAGGCAAAACCAACTTGGAACTTTTTAATTAAAGACAAGTATGCCTTATATATACCCTGCTTGAATGGTAACCACAGAATGAATTGTTTATCATTTGTTTATTTATAGTCTAGATTACCTCACAAGAGCCTGGGAAGAATTGGGGGTGGGGGAAGGTATTTTAATATTTCTCCTTGTTTCTCAGGATCCAACTTTATTTTTAATTTTTATTTTTAATTTTCTAATTTTATGTTTAAATTCCCAAGTGGAGTCAATTTTGGCCCTGATGATGATTAATAAGTGATCACTCAGTCTTTATTTCAAACCATGAACTTTTCCAACTTTTTTCGTTTCCCTGTCTTTTTGACAAGTGGGAGGGAGAGAGCAGCTAGGTCGGCTTCTTGCAGCCAGTCAAAATCAAATGTATCTCATGAGCAAATTTGTGTGAAAGATGACAGAGGAAATGTGAGAATTACTACAATAGCAGTGATAGAGAGTGATAACATTACTCTTCTGCAAAACAAAGTCCACTTCAACCCAATCCTACCCAGCAAACCTATTCCATCTCAGGATGGCAACTAAATCTTAGAGTCCTCTAGAGGTTTTTGTTTTGGGGTTTTTTTTTTGTGAATTTTCCATAGGTATTTAATACAGTTTGCCAATGATTTTCTGGCTCTGTTTCTCAAAGATTCTCTCTGTGTCTGCACACAATGGGTAAGAAATAGCAGTTTGTTGTATGTGTTGAATTTTCAAGCCTCAGGAGAGCTATAGAATCGGCATTTCCCCTGCTTTTGTTCTTTGCTTTGAGTCTGGAAACTTAAGCACTTTGATAATGTATATGTGATGCATGGGGTCTTAATGTAAGAGCAGAAAAATGCAGAAGGATAATTGTGAAAGTAACCTGAGAGAAGACAAATCTTGACTAAATCTCCTAAGAGTGCCTCTGTGTGTATGTGTGTGCATATGTATTTATGTATGTGCATGTAAGAATGCAGAGGCCAAAAAGGAAAACTGAAAATCAATCGATATCTAGGGCAATATAACTCAAGTGTCAGAACTAAGTGTCACTAGCACAGATTTCTAGAAGTCATGGGAACTAAGACATAATCTTGAAATAAACTCCCAGCATTTGAAATGAGAATAATTTTATGAATTATGTTTAAAATGCTTTCTATTCCTTTGTGCTATTTAGTATCCCTCTGATATGAATAAGTCTTCCAGCATGATACCAGAGTGTATTGCAAAACTGTTGCACTGCTTTGCATTGAAGTAAGTAACCTGAAGAAGGTTGCTGTATTGCAAAAGAGGTCTTCCACTAGATGAGATAGGCACACTTTTTGCTACCTTTTCATGTAAAGTCGTGCTGTTCAGCATGCAACTCTTGTTCCTACTTGGCTCCTTTGGTTGACATGAATTTCAACAGCTTCTGCCCATCAGCAGAATATATCTGCATCTATTGTAAAATGCTATTTTTACTGATAACTTGTTCTGTAACCTTCATTTTGAACAGTATTCTCCATCTTTGGTGAAGAAAATGAGCACATTATGTTGTTAGTAATGTGTGTTTCAAGATTCTACCATGAATGTTGGATCAAAAAATGACAGATAGCGATTTAAATATCATTCAGAACCATGTCATTTTTTTTTACCAAAGGGAATACTGTAACTTCAAAGTGCATTTTGCGTTTGATTCTGACATTTTTTTTTATAAAAGTAGGGTTTCAGAACAATTCAAAGTTCTGATTTTAAGGAAAAATAAGAAAGGTTAGACATTAGTCTTCTGATATAAAGTTTTCAAAAATAATTTGGAAACAAAAAAAATTCCAAAAATACTGAAACAGGAGGTTTTCTATATTATGAGACATCTTAATTTTATTTTATTTTTGCAAGTCAACTTCTGTCAAAATTGGCAATTATTGAAAAGTTCTGATTTTTTTGGAGAAGTTTTGTCTGTGTATGTGCAGAAAGTCTGTTTCATCTTCAGAAATAGAAGATCAGCTGGGGTAAGTGGAGAGGCAGAAGTGACTTTATCTCCCTAAAGGAGAAGCTCTTGTGCTTGCTTCCTGTTTTCATGTGCAATGACAATCTGCTGTTCATCAAGTTTATTTATGGAGGGGAGATTTTGGAATTGAATTACTTTTACAAGCAAAAAAGATTTGGGTGAGCTCTGGAAAACCTCTGGAGGCAGAATTCAGAATTTTGTCTGGCTAGAATCCTAAAGAAGATGAGTGGACAGGTAGTTTGCTCAGACAAAATGGCTCAAAATTTTATGCACACATACTATGGAGATGCTCCTGCAGAAGACATGAGTGAAATTTTAAGTTAGCCACAGAAATTTTGAGAGGTGTTAAACTACACTAGCACTACAGGCTGGGGTGAGGAGTGACTCAAGTGTTGTTTGTCAGAA